CTTTTATTTTATAAACTCATTCTCAGTAAACTTAGGGAACAATGGTGTCTGAATCCTTGGTCCTTGACCTGTTAACATCAGTTCTGTGGCACAGGCTTAGGCCTTGGCTCCCTTTCTGGAAAATTCTAGAACTATATGGAAATCATATCTAAAATCCTGATAGACACGTTTTACCAAGAATGTCAGTTATCTCTTGACAGTTTGGCATTAGCCTTTAAATATTAGATTGTGTAATCATAGCACCATTCAGGGAAAATAAGGTGGTAGGTGGCTGGCATTTTAAAAGTAAAATGAACTTGGGTTCCTAGAATATTAATCACTAGTCTACTGAAAATGCTGATACTACTTCCTAACTATGAAATGCTAATTGAAGAACAAGCAGTTACCGTATATCTCCATGTATAAGACACACCCTTTTTTGAAAAATTTGGGGTCTACAAACTGGGTGTGTCTTATACAGTGGTGGTAGATTTTTTTTACTTGCCTTTGACAGTGATGGGGAGCTGTATGAATTTTATGATGAATAAAACTTTAGTTCAGTAACTTTATGTAATACATTTTTTTTCAAATTTTGGGCCCCAAAAGTAAGGTGTGTCTTATACATGGGAGCATCTTATACATGGGGAAATATGGTATTTCGCAAGTAACTTAGATCAGAGGGGAGTACAATGTGAGTTTAGGGGTTTGTTTAATATATATATATATATATTTTTTAAAGATTTTTATTGGGGAATTGGGGGATGGGAACAGCACTGGGGAATTGGGGGAAGGGGAACAGACAAGTTGCTGTTCTTTTTGTTCTTCAGTCTAGTTGTGGAGGACGTTGCTTCACTGGCCCAGGTTGCGCTCTTCCCGGGTGAGGCAGATCAGTTGCCGGCTTCTGGACGGCCGCTCAGGGTGGCTGCTGGCCGCTCACGCTGGATGCTGGCTACACACGGTAGCCCATGGCAACTGACTGCAGCAGGGGCTGCAGCTTAAGCCGTCACTGGCGACTCTCGGCAGCCCAGCTCCAGGTTGAGCTGTTGTTCAGCATCTTAGCTGTAGAGGTCAGTGTCACTGACCCTCATATGTGGGATCCGAACCAGGGCCCTCTGGTGTCCCAAGCCAGCTCTTAACCAGTGCGCCACTCGGCAGGCCCTGTTTAATATATTTTTACCAGAACAATATCTGAATGACATTTTCAAGCTCTGAAACTGAGAAAGTAATGGAGGAACCTTCTAGTGAGTTCCGCCAGTGTACTAGCCTGACCAGACCATCACAGAAATAGATCATTATTTTGGTCATGTAACTTGCCTTCTCATTACCTTTCTTACCCTTGACTTTGCAGCAGAGAGGAGAAAGAAACTCGTGGCCTCTACCATAAATACACATGGTAACAGCAGTCACGTAATTTTATATTTGTTGTGGGCAAGTCATTCATTTGTGATGATGGAATGGCTTATTTTTAATACAATGCTTTTCATTGATCTAAACTTAAATTCTTTTTTCCATCTGATTTAGTGTTTGTACCCCATTCCAGGGCAGCATAAATTTAGCACAGCTTCTCATTTTACCAACCTGGTAGAAGTTTTAAAGGTTTCAGTCAGTCTACCTTTAGCTTTTCATATGAAACGGACTATAAGAACTCCTTAATTTACAGTATAATGTGTAATTAAAGACAGACCCAGTATCTGGCATGTGGTTTGTACAGGGATTATGGGAAAGAGGAGGTTTGGAGTGACTGTTTGAAAAGGAGAATCTTCTTTAGAAAATAGATAAAAGCATGGACTATATCCCAAACAGAACACAAAATGGAAGAGACCCGGATTATTGCATCCTTGGAAAGGATAGAAAAGGTATCTTCAGTTTTCTAGAAGACACCCATGTGGATAACGCATAATTTCACAGGCTTGATGAAGAGTAATTGCCATAGACCAGTGTCATTCATAGCACATTAGTTGTGATTGATGGTCTCTGCTTCTACAGAGTTTTATATTATAAAATTAGTTTACGACTTCTTCTGTTAAACTCATTTAATCCTCTACCATACCCCATTCTTTCATTATCCTTGTAAATTTATTTAGTTTTTTTTAATGGCGTGAATATCTCTATCTGTGCTGTTATGTTCAATCAGCTATGTCTGGATACCCCAAGGTGAGCAGAAACATCCATGACAGGGGCTCTGGGTGGGTGGGGTAGATAGATATCAGCAGCTGCGTGGTGTACAAATGGTTTATAATTCATTTAACCAGTTTCCTATTGATAGATATTTGCATTCTTTTCATTTTTAAGTTTAAGATATTTCAGTAAACATATTTGCACATGTGTCAGACACACTGTCTACTTTTAGAACTTTTTAACAATGAAATATATACAAAAAGCACAAAAGTTATTTTTGTAACTCAATGATAAATGGAATAATAAAGGTATAATTAGCACCCTCAAAGTCCCCCTCAAGCACCTTTCCAGTGACGACAGGCCTACGAGGATAGCCACCATCCTAATTTCTACCACCCTTATCTCATTTAGCCTGTTTGAAATGGGTGTGAATGGAATCGTATCGTATATGCTCATTGGTATCTGGTTTCTTTCACTCACTGTAATATCTGTGAGACTCATTCATGTACGTTGTAGCAATTCATTTTTTATTGGTGTGTAATATTCTGTTGTGTGACTGTTCCATAATTGTTCCTTTTTGTTGTTGATGAACTTTGGGTCTATAACCTAATTTTTGGATATTACAAATAATGCTGTGAGCATCCTCAGACATGGGTTTTGGTGCGCATAGTGATACATATCTATTGGGAGTAGCTCCGATGGGCATAGAATGGGCATATGTGCAACCTTACAGTACCAGGTTGTCAAGTGACTGAAACCGCTTCACACTTCCACCAGCAGTGTCTGGTTATTTTTAAAACATGACTTCATAGGAGTGAAATTTGAATAAAAGAATAAATTCATTTTAGGTTTTGGAATATAGTGCTAAATTTGTCTTCAGGAATACTAATTTATACTCCACTGAACACTAAGTTTTATCCAGCTCTTTCATCTTTGTCAATTTATAGTGAAAAATGTCTCATTTCTAAACTAATGAGTTGAACTTTTCATAGCTTAATTTTGCTCATTTGACTTAACTTGGCTGTTCTGGCCTTTTCTTTGTTGGGGTGTTTCTAATTTTGCTCATTGCTTTTGTAATAACTCCTTATTTTTAAAAAATCCACATTGTTTGGTCATATGCTATAATTTGTTTATCTTGGTCTGTCTTTTTTCTTAACTGTCTTTTATAATGTAGACATTTTAAATGTGTGTGCATGCTTCCTATTCCTTCCTCTGTGGTTTCTGGCTTTGGTGTCATCTTAGGAAAGCTTTTTTACACCCAAGATATTTTTTTGTTTTCCTCAAGGACTTCATAGCTTGTGTTTTAATTTTGTTTTTTTGTGACTACATTTGTCTTCTTTAGCTAACACAACGGTGCTTTTTAAAAAGCTTTAAAACCATTTAAACACGTTGTACTCCTATGTATTACATTAGCATTAGCTTTGGGCTATTTTGCAGGGTATTAGAGGGCTACGGGCCAGGAAGAATTGAGTAGACCAAAGCATGCATGTATGTGTCATCTGACCATGAGAAATGAAGCTAGTTTTCCAGTGTGGATCCTATTTGAATCCTTTCAGTGTGCATGTTATTAAAGTAGTTAGATCAAGTTAGCACAGATCACATTATTTTATTTACTATCTCTAGTGGGTATTGTTCAAGGCTCTTGAACAAGGACTTTGCCAAAAGTACGCCTGACCTTTCTGTCTGTTCATGGCCTACAGCACGGAGGATGGGAGAGCCAAATACTTAATTTCCAACCTTAAAAATATCAGTTTTCTCTATTTAAGAGGTCATTTTAAAATTTCTTTGGCTTATTCCTCTTTTGTGTGATAGATAGTACATGTAATTTGCACTGTGATTGAGAAGGATGAGACCAGTCTGTCATATATGGTTTTTTGGTTTTTTTGTTTTTAATGTGACAGTGGGATTTGAGCGCTCCTCCAAAACCCCCACCACCTAAAATTCTTGTCAGAGTTCTTATTGCGTTAGACCACAAAGCAGAGACATGAAACAGATATTAGACCAATAGCCCTCTCTCTCCTGCTGAGATGGATTGCTTTGGTTTGTGTAATTAAATCTTAGAATCTTAAAGGGGTCAGAGTCTCAGGGACAGGTACGTTTTGAGGAAGGGAACACAGAAGTGTCACTCCTCTGTGTTTATAGCCCAGCACCCCCCAGTCTAAGGGGGATGGAGGTTCAGGAGGGAGGCAAAGAATAGGTGAAAATAAATGCTTTAGACAAGACTAAAAATATATATTTTTGCTGGGCTTTTGCATTTGGCAATACCACTTGTAGCAAGGTTTTATCTCTAATTATTTTGATGATTCTCTAAGCCAAGGAGAAAATTGTGGGGACTTTCCTTAGTAAATCCATAATTTTAGGAGCATAGCATTTCCGGTTTAGGAGAATCCATGTTTTGCTGAGTATCTGAATTTGACTAAAGGGAATACTGGATTTATGTTACAGGCTCACTGGGGATCAGCTGGGGAGGAGACTACAGAAGGGAGAAAAACTAAACTTAAGTGCCTTTTTTTTTATTTACGTACAATATGTGCAAAAAGCAGTCTTAGCATTTTACATACTTAATCCTCACAGAAATCCTATGAAGTGGTGTTTTCCTGATTGGCAAAGAGAAGAGAACAAAGGCTCAGGGAGTAAGTGTACAGTGTTTGGCCTAGGCTCCCAAACCCAGTGGATGGCAGTCCTGGGATTTGAACACCAGTTTCCGAATTGAAAGTTCATTCACAGTCTATTCACAAGTATATGTCGCCTTCTGAATTATCAGAATGATTATGTGTATTTTATATTTTATTGGTTTCATATCAAATGTTGGAAACATTTTAAATGGCATCTCTTGGAGATGTCGTCATTAGTTCTTCCAGGTGGTACAAAGCCTGTGTAATTTCCTTTACCACCCACCTCAGCATTGAGAGTAAGCACGAGGTTACGATCCTGGGAGGACTCAATGAATTTGTAGTGAAGTTTTACGGACCACAAGGAAGTAAGTACACGTGTTGGTATGTGTTCTTCTCTTACAGTCCTTTATTCTTTAATAGACAATAAAAATATCAAAGACAGATGATGGTATGTGTAGTTTTTGAAAAGTAAATTTAATTGAGCGCTAGAACCAGTGAGAAAATCTTGGTGTTCTCACAGTTTATATGCTTTTCTCTTTTATCTCTACGTGACAGTATTAAACATGAATTGTAAATTCTGGGTTTTGTTTTGGATGGTCACATGGAAGGTTTAGGGAAATATTTTTTTATTTTTGTTTCTGTTTTTTGTGTGGGGGGGGTGGGCATGGGGTAGATTGAGGTAGGAGGCTATTACTTACCAAATAATTCATAGTCTTTAACATTTAAAAAGAGAATCAGGTAAATTTAGGGAAGAAAGTGAATCTTTGCTTATTTTCTAACTCTAGATCTTTTGAAGAAAAGTATTTTAATCTGAACAGAGTTATAAGAAGTCCCTGACTCTTGAAGGAATTAATTTGCAAGGTTTTCAAAAGAGATTAGGATTTCATGTTTAACATTTTTACTTTGATTTTTCTTTCAGCACCGTATGAAGGAGGGGTATGGAAAGTTAGAGTGGATCTTCCTGATAAATACCCTTTCAAATCTCCGTCTATAGGTAGGTACCTACCCAGTTTCTCTCCTTAGAGAGTTCTGATATCAAAGAGAAAAAGAAAAACAATCCTATATTTTATGGGAGATAATTAATTCCAGAAATGGTTTCCTTTTTGACTTTGGTTAAATTAATCAGTGACTTTGGTTGGGTGGGGAGGGGCTTCCATAATGGGATAGAAGATGTTCACATACACCCTTTGCATGATTGTAATGACTATAACTCTAGATTTTTCTGTCTTTCAGGTTCAGATTAAATAAGCAATTGTAAGGCCCACTGTCCATTCAGGCTATTAGCAGTAACATAATAAATATATCTTAAATCTCATTTTAAATGCCAGATTGTTGGAATTAATATTATATAGTATCTATTCTAATTCTGTCATTTAAACATCCTCTCTGTATCTTACTTTGCTTTTCAGCCCAGCCCTGGGTACCTAGCAATGAAATGACTGTTTTCCATTCTCTTCACTCCCAGTCTCTTTAGCCCTCTATAAACAGCTGAAGAAACTAGAGTAGAAACCTCAGTGGGGTTGTGTGAAGATGTACTTCTTCCTCACCTTCATATTTCTTCTGCCCTAATTGGTGAGATTTTTAATGTGTCACCCCCATTAAGGCATTTAGTGACAATTTAGGTATTTTAGTGTCAGATGCTGTAGAGGCATATCTCATTGAAGGTTGAAACCTTTAAATATTTTGAGATTGTAGACTGGTAGTAGCTTAGCTAACTTAAGCCAACTTTTAAAATTTTCGTTCTGTAGATAATTTAAAAATATTCGCCAATTTTAAGAAAGAAGAAGAAAGTAAAATTGGAATACACTGAGCATTCTCTGAAGTCCCACCAAGCCTCAGTGCAGAATTGCCCGAGTTCACACAGTGGCGAGAGGCTCCTGTTGGGGGCCTGTCTTTGGAACTAATGCCCGATCTCTTGGAGATTAGACACACGCTCCTGCTCCAACAAAAGGGTTTTTTAAAGAGGTAGATGAAAGACATTCTGAGCTTTATGCTTTGATTCTAGGTCCCCACGTGCTTGCCTAGGATCAATAATGCAGAAAAGTAGGATAGTCACAAACTAATTCCTAATCAAATGCAGCAGCGTCTCCCCGACATCCAGCTACTTGACATGCTTAAGAGCTTTAATGCTATAAAAATACTACAGAGCATCTATAATGCCTTCTCCGGCTAGGAACTGTTAGTGTTCATTTTAGGAATAAACTGGTGATTTCTTCTTACGGTCCCTTAGGTAAGTTCTCTAAACTCAGTAGTCAAAAAATACTTTATGGATAGTTGAATTGGAAATTTTCTCATTGCTACAAGGTCTCTGAACTTGAGAGTTGTCAAATAGTGAAATAGGAGGGGAGTGCTGAAGTGTTGAGTCTTTGAGACAATCTCCGAGGATACCTGACTTAGCATCTCCGTGTAGTTGGGGCAGTGCCGTGTCCCAGTGCCGTTCCACGGTGGGAGAATGTAGGTTTCACTCAGGTTAGGAGGACTTTCCTATCGTGTGTGGTTCTGTCTCCCAGGTATCTCGTCTTTAGGGTGTTTCTTTCGATACAGGCATTTTAAATCTATAAAGATTTATGATCTTGAAACCTTTACAAACAGAATGTCCAAACCATATATATTCATTCAAATATATTTCATAAATACCTATTTATTTAAAGACTAAAAATTGGCTTGCTAAATCTGGTTTTGTTACCCTAGATTCCTAGTCAGAAAGGAAACAGTATAGCTTGTCGAAACTAACAGTGAACCTATAGAAATGAAATTACATATCCTGTAGAAATGTAGTTATTTCTCAAACCTTGTCTTAACATATTTTTCCAGGTAATATAGTTGTTTCATCATAACTTTCAAAGTAAAAATATCTGAACTTTAGACATTGTTTATTAACTAATGACACACAGGAGTCTATATACCTTTTTAGATTAATGGTCTAATATGAAATTGGTTGGGACAAATGACTAGCCTAATTTAACTTCATAATTTTTCCTTTGCCTTTCTGTGTGCTTTTAGAACTTGGTAATACCTACAAATGTATACCATCTTCTCTTAAGGAAGTAAATAGGGTTGAAATATTTGTACAAGCTGTCCTTGTTTCCTCCAAAGGAAGATTGCATAACAGAGTTTTAATCAGTTGTGTGTGTGGGGTGACCCATTTTCAGGTCGTCAACAATGTAATTAACTGTTGGAATGTGCTTTAAACATTTTGAGGGGTAGTGACTCATTTAGAATAAGCAAAGCTTCCTTTTTAAATTGTATGGATAGTTGTAGAATTATACAGAAGGGCAGAGATAAGAAAAACCCAACCTCAACGTTCTTTGTAAACCCTGCTTCCGTAGTGGCTAGGCAGGCATACCCTTCTTCCTGAGTCAGATGTTGAACTCTTAAATATTAGGATGCGCAAATTTAGATTAAGCATCTTTAGTGCTTAGATCTTAGAGTTTAAAAATATATGTGTATATATACTTTTTTGTTTGAGATACACACACACACACACACACACACACACACACACACACAGTATCTGTGTGTGTGGTAATTGCATAAATGTTCCCTACCCATAGTAGGAATGTAAGAAAGTCCAGGTGAGCAAAAATAAAGAAAAATTATGGGCTGGCCCAGTGGCTCAGTTGGTTAAGAGCTGGCTTGGGACACCAGAGGGCCCCGGTTTGGATCCCACATATGAGGGCCAGTGACACTGCCCTCTACAGCTAAGATGCTGAACAACAGCTCAACCTGGAGCTGGGCTGCCGTGAGTCACCGGCGACAGTGGCGACGGCAGCGTAGGCTGCAGCCCCTGCTGCAGTGGGTTGCCATGGGCTACCATGTGTAGCCAGCGGCCAGCAGCCGCTGTGAGTGGCTGGCCAGCAGCCGCTGTGAGTGGCTGTCCAGAAGCCGGCGACTGATCTGCCTCACCCGGGAAGAGTGCAATGATGGTGCCAACTTGGGTCAGTGAAGCAACGTCCTCCACAACTAGACTGAAGAACAAAACGACAGCAACTTGTCTGTTCCCCTTCCCCCAATTCCCCAGTGTTGTTCCCATCCCCCAATTCACCAATAAAAATCTTAAAAAAAAAAAAAAAAGAAAGAAAAATTAAAATGTCCCATAATCCTACCCTTCAATAGAGATCATTATTTACATTCTGGTATATGCACTTTAAAACACTTTTCTCTGCATATTTAAGTATATATTCAATATAATTTGACATGCTCATCTTTGGGATGTCCTCCAAATATAGTTTTAGAGAGTTTTCAGTAGTTAATGATTCCATGAGATATAACTAAAATGTACTTTTAGAAACAATATACATTTTTAAATAAGTTTTGGGGTTTTTTTTCCTCAAAATAGTAGTAAAGCTACCTCAAATCCTCTTTGGAAAGAGAAGGACTATAAACAGACACCTTGGGAGGTTATGAACTTACTTTTACAAAGCCATTGTTTCAAACCTCTTAAGCACATCTTTTGGAATTTTACATTCTCTTTGAATATCATAAGTGATGGCAAATCTTGATGTTTGAAGCTGAGTATAAATTTTTTAAATGGCTAAAGGTCATTTAATCCCAGAGAATAAAGTGAATGGAAAACAGAGTAACATCAGTTGAAGTACAAAATGATATGTAATTATGAAGTTGACTTAAGTTTAAGGATTATGATTTGTAAACTGGCTGTATGAACGCTTTCAAAGAGAAATTATGAAACTCCTTTAGTCAGTTTAACATCATTGAAATATTTTCAGTTTTGAGAGCGACTGCTATGAAATAAATCATTTGAATCTTTAAGTTCTGATTTGTTTGAAAGTTCAGACTTTTATCTTTCTCACTCAGAAACATTCCCAGAACGTTTAGCAGTGCTGCTGGGTGTTAACCACTGTGTAGTTAGGAGAGTGTGATTGGTCAGTGGGCTGGTTATCAGGAAAGAATGGTTCTGGTCCTAGTTCCCTTTAACCATGAGCATGATACGCATCTGAACTGTTTACTCTTCTAGAAAACAAGATCTGAGAATTAAATGAACTCTGCATGTTTGATATGATATGTGGCATTGTAGTGGATAATTAGGAAGGCTGGTTAAGGCTTTCACTAGTTAGAAGAGAAGATCAACCTAAGTAAAAAATACTGCATATGCTTTAGTCACAGTGTGTCATTGTAATTGTTTTTTAGGAAAGGTGCCTCAGTTGAGGGAGAGAGGGTATGGAGGAGATAGGCTTTTACAAGGAAGATTGTGTTTCGTGAGTTGAGAATATAGCCTTTACAAAGCTTTAGATATGCAAAAGTGCACATTAGGACTTTAGAAATACTTTTTCAACCCCCAAGTAATTTTCAGTCCCTGAAGATTTTGTTCTATGCAAAACAGTTGCTACAGCGACTGCCGTATTCCATACTTCTCCAGATTCAGTTTTCAGCCCTTATACATGTGCTCACCTATTAAGAGAAAGCTTTCACAAAAGAAAACACATACTTGCTGTGGGGGTGAAATAAAGATGAGTGATCATACATATATAAAGAGGGTAATACAGAGCAATTATTTATAAAAATAAATAACCAATAAGCATAGGCTACAAAATGGCTTTATGACTAATCCAAAGAATGAAGATTAAAAAATGAGAATATATGACTTATCAAATTGGCAGGTTAGACATTGTTGGCAAAGGTATTATGATGTAGCCAACCTAGCAGTATCTATTGTTCGTTAAAGGTTTTATATCTTTTGAATGATTTTACTTAAAAATTAAATTATCGTAAGGAAATCATCAGATATGTGCACTAAGATTAATGTACAGAGTACGTAAATTGCAGTGTTATTTTTAAAACTTAAAAGTTGGAAGCAACCTAAATGGCCCTGTTGGTTGTATTTAAATTATGATACATCTTAATGAACAAAATATTTTACAGCCTTTACTCAAGTTTTATCACCAATTTTTAAAGGAACACACAGAAAAATGTATAACTTTATATAGTGTAACTGTTTTTTTTCAAGCAAATTCCAAGTATGAATGCCAAAATATT